TACAGTGAATTTTTTTTAAATGCGAACATAGGAGTTTGCATGCAATGTAATTTCCCTATGTTCGATTTTAAAAAAAACACATCAATCTATTGAGTAGTTCAAATGAGTAGTAGATACAATTGACAGCTGTCACATTTTTAAAAATACCGTCGCCCAATTTAATTACGAAATCGGTTAGGTTATTGCTTAGAATGTCAAGGAGGACACTTCGAACATTTATTGTAATTGTTTGCGTTATTTATTTTCTTATTTTCTTCATTTATGTATTGAATAAAGCAAATTAGTAGAATACCAGGTGCACATGACCTACAAATAGTTGAAGGTTGGTTCACAATGAATTGTGATGTCAGCGCGTGCCTTGTGAAGTCAAGTTATCGTAAGTTTACGAAAAATTTATCCTAAAGTTGCTATGGCCTCACATGGCTTAATTAAAAAAATCTTACCGAGTGCTCTTCATCATAAAGACTATGAATTGCTGTTCATAGTCACACAAATTGCGCGTTTTGGGAATGTGAACCGCGCACATCTCATAGATTGATGTGTTTTTTTTTAAAATCGAACATAGGGAAATTACATTGCATGCAAACTCCTATGTTCGCATTTAAAAAAAAACTCACTGTATATTGTCTCTACGTTAAGGCCCACACCATCTCGTAAGTAGCCTTTTTGTGATAGTTTTAGCTTGTAATGTTGGGTTTTTGTTCTAGGGCCTTGTATTTTTAGTTATTTCTTGTCTATACTTGTTGTACGTACCTATCTACTACTAAGAAATCTTCGTCTTCGTCCATCTCCAGTCTTCAGTCGTCCGTCTTCAGTCTCCAGTCATCCGTCTTCAGGCTTCAATCTTCTTTCGATACCCTCAAATTTATTTTCCCTTTGTTTCCTTCTACCCTCATCCCTATCCATAATCTTCCCCGTATTTAGCCACTGGTCTACAACCGCCAAGTCCGCCGAACAACTGCTGGACAACTTCAGCAGCCAGAACAGCTAAGTTCAAGTTTCAAGTTACCTATTTATTACCTAAAAAAAAAACCGTTAAGTTAATTTTTAAAAAATCCATCACATTAATTCAGCCACCCTACATCATATTAAGTAATTTAGTCCAATTTTATTGTCTTACTGTGAGACGAGATCTCGTACTGATTTTTCTTTTTGCCGTTATTTCCCTGTTATCATTCCGTGCCATTATCAATCATCATCATTCGCCCTACAATATCTGTGTTAGTTCTGGATTTCCTTGAATAAATACCTTTTCTTTCCCCTATTTTTCTCTATTTCTCTTCTTTATAGTTTTACCCCTGCATTTCCAGACCAACAGGAGCAGGTTTCTAATATTTTTCTAAAATTAGTGGCGCCTAAATTTTCTGAGCATTTCTAGCTATTTCTTTCAGTATCGTCGAACCACCCCTACCACCGAGAGCAGCTGGAGCCGTAGTGCTGGATTTCTTATTTCCTTTCAGTTTTCTTCGTCACAACACACAAGAGTAATGTTCTCCCCTCGGACTTGAAGTCGGTAGTGATGTTGATATAATGAAGTAGATTCACCAGGTTAATGTAGGTATAATGAGGTAGGTCACATGACGTCGCCAATTGTAGGTAATATCAGGTAAAACACGAAGTTAATAAAAGTAATGGGACACCAAGAAAAAAATTCGCATATAACCAAGACGACGACAGAATCTTCACTAAAAAGAAAGAAGTACGGCAAATTTGTAGCAGAAAGAAAAGAAGGGATGGCGTTATGTGCATACCTCTCGCTTGATTTCGCGAATTGTAATGGGTCTTACTGGACTACTGAATTTTGGAATTTTTATCTGGCCAATTAAGTCACTATAATAAACCGTTTTTAATTAATTGTGTTGCAGCAACCGTTATCAAAAGGGATCGTGTTTGGAATTGTTGGATGCGCTTAAATAGCATAAATTTTAAAGACTGGCCCAGATTTTTATGATAACAGGGGACCGAGTAAATAATTAAAGAAGTTTAAATTTTTAAACGTTATCGTCAAAGCACGTCGTGCCGGCTGGAAAAACCACCCAGCATTCCACAAATTTTCGAATTCTATAACAGATTGTTTAGAGAGGATCTATTTGCATATTTTGGCGTCAGCGTTTAAATTTGTACGTTGAATTTTCGCATTTTACCGTACTGCTACATAGCTCGTCGAAGTTACAGGATTGAATGAGCTTGCAGCCCAACTGATCCTTTTATTTCTTACTACCTTCCTAACTTCCAGCCGTCATTTTTTGGCATGTGGCACGGTCGAGGGGGAGCGCAGCAGTAGTCGTGTTACCTGGGAAATGAGGGCCAGGCAGATGCAGTAGTAGTGCATCACGCTCTGTAGTCGTGTGATTACCATCTGGTTGTTCAGGATACCTACAGTGTGCATGGTTTGCTTTGAGATATCCCTACGGAACCTAACCGTTTCTCGAATTGACTCGACGTCTCAGCTACTGCAAACTCTGCACTTTGTGGTAGTTTGTCCAAATTATCTTGGAGCACAAAAGTTCGAATAGAATCAATAGAAGAATGAAAAGCAATTTCCGTCATGGCTCCGAAATTATCACGCATAAATATAAATTCGCGTGGGTAAATTACGCTTAAAGTTTCTTTTGATTCATTGAATAGTCCTTCGAACACCATTCGTAGTCGAAAAATTTCTCAATTATTTTTGAGGTGCTGATCGCCGTTTCTGATTCGTGGCGCGTTGCAGTTAGCTATACGAAGGAGGGCTCTCTTATTTGATGTTTCGATGCATGTGTGTAGCGAGTGGTTCATTCTGTCTCCGTGGAGTAGGTACCTAATCCAGTTCGACCGATCGCTGTATCTGTTGCCTACTCGTCTCGTGCGGATTGTAGTTCTTGTCATCTTAGCAATGCGAGATATTTAGGGGTCCTCTCATTAACATTTCCTCTATTTAAAATATGTTCTGCTTGAGCTATATTCGATTTTCACATGAATACTTGCTATTGGCATTTTCACATGTACTTTTCGTGTTAAATTAAATTATGTTAACGGAAGGCTGGAGTAGAGCCACGCCTTTTTGATGTTTCCTGTGTACATGCCATTTATTTATTGCACGAGTTGTGTTTTCTCAATAAACTCTGTTAGTGTGACGTCAAATTTGAGCGGGAAATTCGAAATGTAGGACTTGGCTGTTTTACTGTCGAAGTATATTGACCCCTATCGCCCCATACATTAAGTATCACTTTTAAATAGGTCCTCTTTACGGGCTTATACTGACCTTATGCGCATTAAATAAGCATAGGTATCGACCCTCTTATATCGAAACAGAGCAATACTCGCTAAATAAAATCCATTAATTGGGTTATAATTAAAAATTAAGAATATGTCTACCATATTTATAATTTACGGTTGGCAGTAAGGAATGATCATAAATTCATAACCTATCTTATTCCGTACCTATTCATTATGTTTCCATTTTCTACTGTAAACAAAAAAAACCCTAGGACTATTGAAAAGTACTTAAAACAAATTCAAAAGACACACTTTAAAGGCAAGTAAACGACTAAGTGTAGTAAGTGGGATAATGTAACCACAAGAACAAGGTCATAGAGGTCATGATCATTCCATATCGTCAACCGTAAAGTGTAAGTGTAAATATGGTAGACATATCTTATAACGCAATTAATGGATTTTATTTAACGCTTATTGCTCTGTTTTAAACGTAAGTAATCAGTGCTTCGATATATGGGCCGATGTGCTTATTTAATTCGCATAAGGTCAATATAATCCCATAAAGAATGCCTATTTAAAAATGATCCTTAATGGATAGGGCGATAGGGGTCAATATTTCCGACAGTAAAAAAATCAGTCCTGCAATTCGAATTGCACGGGCTATTATGACGTAACCACTAATAGACCCTATTGATTGTATTAAAGGTATTTTGAGGTGTTTTTGTACTGAATTGATTTATCATGTTTGCTCTGCATTTATGATGTCTTGAATATTTTGTTTTTATGAACTTGTTTAATTGCATTTGATTTGATATCTTATTGTTATCATACAATTTGAGATATTTTATTTTAGTGTATTTTCTCTTGCATTTTATTGCTGTAGGTGATTTATTTCATGTATTTGTGTGGCCTATGCCGGGGTTTTTTCCCGTAGAAGGTTTCCCTGGCATGGTTCTTTTTGTGTGCGTGATATATTTATTTGTTCTTGTCATTTCTTACGCACAAAAGTTCTGTCTTTTATTTAATTTCCTTCCCGATTATGTCTCACGTCCCAACACATACAAGAACCGATTACACAACGTAGGAGTCCATTCGTGCCACCCATATCGAGCCAACTTCCATCCAAATTCAAAAGTGGCGCGAAACGTCCATCGTGTCGACTTGAAAGGTAGGTGGCTCTGCTCGTAATTGTTTTGCCAGAGTTGCCAACGGTAAGTATAGGGTAAGTCAACGTTTTCAGTGTCGACTTGATAGACCCCTAGGAACATTACAAACTAGTGATGCATAATACATTGATGGTCGTTTGCACCGACAAATTTAAGTGTAACTTAGCTTAAGCGTAGTTTAAAATCCATGGCAACGATTATTGAGACAATGGTTGCCATGGATTTTAAGCTAAGTTACACTTAAATTTGTCGGTGCAAACGGCCATGAATGCCGTTTTTACTTTATTTGTATTTTTAATCAATGAATACTTGATCGTTAGTGTCGATATTCTTTCAACATCTCTCTTAAAACCATAGCAAGAAATTACATGCATACAGTCCACAAAATATTCGTTTTACACGCAATATTTTAAAAAACCATGTTTTGTCATTTCAAAATAACGGTTTCCTTTCAACGCGCTCTACTTACCTGAAACTCTCTTATCCGCCCCTGTAATGTTGTTTCCTAATTTTCGAACAATTCTTGGAGTTTAATATCAACATTGCGTGGGGGGAAACATATTGCCATTAGATAAAAGATGTACCTACCTAAGCATTGTAAAGCGAGCAAAAATGTGGCACTCAATCTAAAAGAAGGGTTTTTAAGACATTTTCCTAAAACTGTATTTTGTAAAAGTTATAGTTTGAAATTAACAAATTGTTAATATGAAAACAGCAGAACATAACAAAAAGAAAACTAATACATAAATAAAAGTACATACGATTATGACGTCACAAATCGGTAGGTGGATTGAAAAAATCCCAATGACTTTGATATATCGTAACTTTCGGTTCGCTCAATAAAATTAATCCGGCAATAAAAATTAACAACAGCAAAATAACAACATGCAAGTCTTGTTTACCATCCACGTTATTCACTACATTATTGGTAATATGAGTAATCAGTCTCCTAATAGAGCGGTCGCCTTCCAGCGCGCACAATCTCACTAACTGTCCGGTAAGTTGCGGTATAGACGGTTCGGGAGAACGATGGTGCCGTCTACTCACTGGCACTGCATCTTCTGAACTTGAGGCGGTCACCGGCGGCGGCGGAGGTTTGTGGTGACGTTTCCGCCGAGGCGGCAAAGGAATGTCTTCATCGATAAACTCTTTGAAGTGTGGAGATCGCAATGCGTAAAAACTTGGGGGAGGTTGCGAAGGTATGTAGGTAAGTTCAGACTGAACCGGGTCGGGAGGTCTTGGAGGAGGTTCTTCATCAGACTTCGAAATCCTGTCGTGCTCTTCTTTCGCAATCTGCTCCACGTCTACTGGTTGTTCACCATGTTCCTCAATTCTCTCACCACCCACTTCTAAATTTACTGCCCCGTCTTCAACAATAGTGTCACTAACAGTAGCAATAGCTTCATCAATTAGTTCTTGAATTAAACACTCCTCCAAGTCCATTATGTTTTGTTGATTGTCTAAAGAAGGCTCATCTTCGTTCATAAACTCGGACACCTTTTCCACTTGAGATGATCTTCTGGGGGGACGAGTTGGAGGTTCAAGCAATTCTTCAGATATATCATTTTTTTCTTCAGCGGTATCTAAGAGGTCAGTTTTTGAGTCGTGTCGAGGAGGCACCGGAGGAGCTGTATCAAATAATTCTGTTTCCAAAGGATCATCAATCGAAGTTTTTTTTTCGACAAAATCGCCCTCTTCTTCGGATTTTAGCTCACTACTTACCGCTTGAACTGCAGTTGAAGCCATGCGCTCTTCTGCCGCCATTTGCAGCTTTTGGAGCATTTCTTGGATCAAATTTGGGGGTAGATCAATACCGCTCACTATTAAGTTGCCACCTTTAGAGTTGATCTCTGAGACTTGCAAACTTACACCCTCTAGCTCAGACACGATGATTTTACTCGCCTGTAGCTCGTTGACGTGCAATTTATCAACGTCTAAATCGGCGACTTGCAGTTTTTGCGCCCTTAGGATACTTACCTCCTGACCATCTTGAATTAAACTCACGGGTTCAACCACTTGGGGCTGCGGATCTCTTACTTTGGAGAGTTCGTCAGGTATACCCGATGTTACCACAGCTTCTGGGATATCAGGGTTCTTCAAATCGTGAAACTCTGCAGGGACTTCAGAATCTTCATATGGTGGTTCAACACTCGACAAAAGTGCTTCCGGTGGGTTTTTCAATTTTTTAAAATCTTCAGGTATCTCAGAGAACTCTTCATCAGCTGTGGGTTCGTCAAGCGGTTCCCTGGTAATTTCAATGACATGAACCGTAGAATCTCCGTCGGTGCGAAGAGTGGAATGTGAGACAGCGTCCGGGTCGGTTAACGTTTGTAAAACTAGAGAGCCATGGGTTATAGTTTCTTCGTGGTCGTAAGGTAAAATTTGGTCTTCCAGTTGCTGAAGATCGTCAGTTTCTTCTGCAGTAAATTTGTGAAGGTCTTCTTGAGATTCCGTTGGCAAGTTTCGTTCATGGGATATGTCGCGTAAAGCCGACCGGGACTTCCGGGGCGGGCGTGGTGGTGCTGGCAGAGGCCGGTCTCTCATTTTTTGAACCACTTCACCAGATTGGAGATGAACTACGTTTAAATTCTCCTTATCTTCAGTAAAGGTAGGTGTTGGTCCTCTTAGAGTGCTATAATTTCGTAATGGTCTCACTGGCGTTGTTTCACCTGTCGATCGGGGTACCGTTGCAAATTTATCTTCCTTTGACTTATGCTTGTTGGCTCTTCTTGGCCGCGGTGGTGTTTTCGGTACTCGGGTAGGTGGTAGAGGGGGGTCTCTTGCTTTGGACTTATCGATAACAGCATAACCGCTCGTGTCTCTTACGTCTTTTATGCAAGCGACTTCAGTCACTTCCACTGGAGCGTCAGAAACCAAAGAGTCAGCACCTCGAGATGTTCGGTCGTCTTCTAATTGTGATGCTGATATCGATCGAGTGCAGGAACGAGTTCTTCTTGGTCGCTCAGGTGGCTCTGGTGTGGGGATTATGTACTCGTGGTCTGCTCTGTAATCTTGAATCTGAAAACGCCATTTTTGTAAGGTGTTTCATCACTTGCATATACTTACATTTTCTACAGGAACACGTTGTTCTTCGTGCCCTATTGAACCTTGGTCGGATTGACTTGCGCTTCTGTAATTTCTACGCCGGCGGGGTGGAGTTACAGGGAAGTGGTTTAATTCTACCCCGTCTAAAGAAAAGCGTTTTTCTTCGTCTTCTTGATCAGAGGGCGTTAAGCTCCTTAGGCTTCTTTGCCGGCGAGTAGGAGGTATGGGAGAACGATCCAGACTGACGCATTCGAATGGAGCTTCACCTGTTATTGAACCGCGGTCAGACGGACTTAAACTCCTTGAACTTCTTTGCCTACGCGTGGGAGGTACTGGAGGGCGGTCGTCTCGTTCGGGAGAGCCTTGGAAATTTTCATACGCGTCGTAGGGATCGTAGACCTTAATTTTCGGCTGTTCAAAATCCTTCATGCACTCATTCTCGTACATGTGCGGAAAATCGTGCTCGTAAAAGTATTGCATGTCACTACCCAGAATATTGTGGCGAAGAACATCGGAATGATCTATCGCAATTATATAATCGGGGTGAATGAATGTGCCGTGTTCTACGATGGGAATCGTTTCTTGAAATGGAACGACATCATCATTATCCAATTTCTTGTTCTTTCGCCGATTCGGTCTAACCGGTGGTGATATTTCAAGTTCGACCTCAAAGTCCTTAGGATACTCCTCCGGTTCGGTAGTGTACGATTCAAGTTCGAAGCTCAGTTGTTCGCTTGAAACGTGGGGAGTTTTCTTTCGTTTGGGTTTTCTTAAGGGCTTACGTCTTGGAGGCTCTCGTACGGGCTCTGACTGATCGGAAAGCTCCATATCGTACTCCCGATCTTCACTGTTGGACTGTGGCAGAATTGGTTTTCTAAACGCTTCCCGTATTTCGGAGCTTAAGTACTTTCCAACTTCAATATCTTCTTGCGATATACCCTTTTTTCGCAAGAAGAATTCGTCTGAATCGATTTCTTCTAACACTCCTTGGCGATGTTCGCTCAAACTTCCCGAGGAGTGCTCTTTCGAGGGAGTTATATCCATACTACCTTCTTGTGGTGTTTGCTCTTCCTGTTCGGGGGGAGGTGTATAATCGACATTATGAATATCTTCAATGTATCGTCCAGCTTGAGGCCCTTCGTGAAACTCACCGTGCTCCCATCTTTTTAGTAGCTCTTTACCAAACGTGTCCTCTTCGCGATTTTCCGGTATATAGTCATCCTCTTCTGGTTGATCCTGGATAAACTCAACATCTCTGTGCTCCTTGTCGTATTCCCGAGGAGGAACATCCGCTTCATGATTTTGCACATTCTCCTCTTCGTTAGCGTTAGGATCGAATAAAGCATTTGAAGGATCGTCCATGGAATCTTCAGAGTGCAATGGAATTCGGATTACATTTGGAGCTTTTGAAGTTTCCTTCTTTACGTCCCCCCACTTCGATCCAGATTTAACCTTACCTACTCTTGGTACCGTCGCGAAGTCCGGCTGAGTGGATGACGGCTCGTTGTTTTCGAACGAAACATCCTTGTCTCTTCCTTTCGATTTATCAAACATTCTAGGATACGTCCTAAAGTCGAAAAATTTTTTCTTGGAGTCGCCTACGTTCGACTCCGTCGAAAATTGTCGGGCTCGCCATGAATCTTTAGAATCTTTACGCGTGAAGTTAAACGATGGCAAGTTGATTGAAGGCCGGTCCGGTAGCTTGGGAAGTTTAATGTTTGGTTTCTTGAAGTTCGGCTTTTTGAATTTCGCAGTTGGTAGTTTTGGCGGAGACGGTAAAGTGATTTTTGGTCTTTTAATGCCTTGGATCTTTGTTTTAATTTTAACAGCCTGAGTGCGAATGGTGTCGTTGAAACTTCGGGTTAATGAGTCGTTCCTTCTCTTACTTCTTGAACTTGCCTTTGAACTGGTGCTTGCTTTTGAGCTGTGCTTTAGGCTGTCCGTTTTTGAGACCATATCAGGTGCGTGTGCAAAACTATCGTCGTGGCCCTCGGTTTTTGCCGGTTTGTTTGGGAAGTAACGATCCTCGAAGTTTTTCTCCAACTCGTGAACGCTGAGGGTTTTCCCGTCATCATGGTGGTGGCCATCGGGTGATGGGGAAACTTTTCGTTCAAGTGACCGTCTGCCATCATGAATAACTGGCGGCCCTTGTATTGATACCACTTCAGGGGGTGGGTTAACCGGCTCATACTCATGGTCGCTGAAACAAAAGGAGAGTTAGTCATGGATTTTATAAGTGTGTTGAACTGATATTGCGGTTGCCAAGGTTTCTATAAATAGAGTTCGTCCGGGTAAGCTGAAGATTTTTAGAGCGTAACGTTTGTGTACACGTACCGAGAATCCACAACCAGATTACTTGTCCGACTAACTGGACGCGATCCTACGTGGCTTTGTCGTTCTGGAAGCAAGGAGTCACATTTGTAAAACTGACATGCACACCTAACGTCCAAGGACATAATGGACGACGCAGCTGATGACGTTCGCGAGACATTGTGCTGTTGCGAAGGGTGCTCTTCGCCCTCAGATAATGACCGCTTATTTTTTCTCTCAAATGACTGATTGCGGTGTTGACGTTTTGCTTTAGAATGGAGTTTAACTTGCGGGGATGCAACTTCCATTTTTCATTTCGCGCGTCCACTAATGATAAATGGAAAGCACATCCTCTAAACTTTACACTACCTACATTTTGCTTATTCTTTCACACACCCTACCCGAGTTTTCACCGTTTACTAGGCGACAGCCATACCGTTATGCTATTGTTAGACATGCAAAACGACAACCACCGATATGACTACGACAACGTTGCTGCTTAGTTATTTTTATAACGCTAGCTAAAGATGTTGGCTACGGTCCCTAAATGATCTAGAATTTGTCACGCTGCCAAATTGCATACAGGTGCTTTCATTTTGGTAAAACAAGAATTGTGGGTACTTACTTTGATTTGGACCATTTATTGTAGTCGTCTTCCAAAGAGGTCGTCTTCATTATTTGTTTATCCAAATACGACTTCTCCTCGTCCACTGACATCGATTGGAAAGATTCTAAGGGAATAACCACACTATGTCCGACCACACTCGCTTCGGGTGCCTTAATATCGGGAGTATTCAACTTTACGTCTTCATATATCGGCTCTCCACTTTCAGTTTTCGACTTACGCTTGAAAGACACCTTCTTTTTCAACACGGGGGAGGTTTCCGTTTTAATTATAGACTTTAGTCCTAACGCTTGTTGATGGTATTCCTTCTCCAATTCCTCATTAATCATTGCAATTGCCACCTCGCTTAGTTTTAACCCATCCTCTTCGTCTACAAGTATTTGATGTTTCAACTGCAAAACACCTTTTTGCTCTTCCAATTCGGGATCTTCTTCTGGGTTGTCTTCCACTTCGCTCACAGTTTCCAACGGCTTTACGTCGGGGTACACAGTGTCCACAGCATGCTTCGCCAAAGTTTTCAAATCTTCAATCTTCAAACTTCCGAAAAACTTCTGGTCAGTCTCGCAAGGAGTCTCCGGTCCAGCGCTGTCTAAAATTTCATCATCCGACGGCGGAGTTAAAATAATCAATTGAATATTATCATCGGGCGTATCAGGCTCAGGAGTTTCAGCCTCTTCAACAACCTCTTGGTCTGTCTTTTCAATCGGGCGGGTTTCCTCAACCGCTTCGCTTTCCAGGTGGGAAAACTCGTCCGACTCACCCGGCGGCAGCTTCAAGGGTATGTGAATGTAAACTGGTTTCTCCGGCCCAGCGGTTTGCGACCTCTTCGATTTTTCTTCTGGTTTTTGGACGACCTCGGCTTTCTCTTGGCGTGGTTTGGACTTTCTATCGAATTTGGAAAAGGACGGAAAGTTGGGCAGCCTGATCTTTTCCTTGGCTTGCTTGAGTTTCTTCATAAATGCGAGCTTTGATAGACTTTTCCGGCTGTGGCTACTATCGATTGAGGGTCTACGTTTCCTTTTAGGTTCCTCGGAGCGAGCTCTTACCGGAAGGGTTTCTTTGGGAGGTAGTTCGAGATGACCCTGTGTGGGTACTGCTTTTTTCCACTTTGATAACGTCGCCTCTAGTTTGCGTAATCTTTCCGGATCGGGCGTGTGATCACTTAAGGTTTGTTTCTCCTGAACTTTAATAGTGCTTGGTCCTACTTCGCCTTTGTCATCTTTGTCTAGGCACTGGCTAATATTATCATCGACTGAACTATCTTCGGCTACATCTGGAACTGATTTTTTCTCATCCTCCGCAACCTCTTCGATGGTTACTTTGTCACTTCGCATAGAGTCTTCGAATTCGCTACGAGCCGTACTGACACTTTCCTCGATTTCTACCGTAGGTGGAACAGATTCTCCTTGCCCTTCTATTAGGATCTCTTCTGTTACCTCCTCTATAAACACATCGCTGTCACTATCCAATTTCATTTTGATTGTTTTCGTTAACTCCACGCTGGTTTGCGACGCCCTACGGGCGACATGTTGGTCGTGGACCAATTTAATTTGTGTAAGCAAATCTAATAGTGACGTTTTCCTTTTCTTTTCATCAGGACTACTTACATTAATTAAACTTCCCATAGGAGACTGCTTGAGACTTTCACATTCATACTTGGAATACTCGTCCGTTTCCCCAGGTGGCGGTTTCAGAGGTATGTGTATGTAGACCGGTGATTCATCTTTTATTGTTTGCATTTTCTCCTTCTTAGGCGCACCAGCTGTGACCGTTTTCTGTTTCTTTGTCTCTTGAAGTGCCGATTCCTCTGACCTTGCCCGTTTCGAAAATTTGGGAACTTTCAGCCTACTCTTCGCCGTTTTGAGCCTATCCATAATTCGCAACTTTGGTAAACTAATGCGACTGTAACTGCTGTCCACTGATAACCTTCGTTTTTTGTACGGCTCCTCCGATCTCGCTCTATTTCCATTCACAGCACTCACTGGAACGTCTAGGGTGTCCCTGTCCGTGCTTACGCTGGCCTTTTGAAGATTAGTGTCGCTCATATTTTCTTTGTCCTCCAGATGTTCGTCGTCGGTGTGAAGTTCGTGCTCACTTTTCTGGATCATTTCGACATCGGTGACCTCTTGCGTTTCGGATTTGCCCAAAGTTGACGTACTACGGCTTCGTCTAAATGCATCCATTGTGTATTCGTCGGGGTCGACCTCTTCGTCAAACGGTGGCTTGGTAAGATGTGTCCAAGGATAAGCTCCTCTTCTTCTGGACCGTCGCACGTCCTCCCAATGGTATGTCTTTATAGGTACTTTCGGAATGTCTGGTGCTGAAAATTAAATTCGAATTAGTATTTTGTAGGTAAGCGAAAACGGAACTACCTATTTTTATGTGTTTGTCTTTTAAAATTGCATATCCTGTGTTGAGTGTACGCAATTTACTATAGACTTTTATGGTTTTACATTTCAACGTTTTAAACGAGATCATTTTTAAATTTAAACTTCCTTAACGTCTCGCAGGACAATAATTAATAAACCAGCATTGCGGACTATGGAGCGCTGGATCTATACTTTGTTTAATTTATTTGCACAAGCATTTTTACGCCATCGTATCGTGCTCTAGGTACTTTAGCTCTCGAAATATTTTTAGGATTAAGAAAAGGTTACCTTATTCTGTGCGGAAGTAAACCCACATTAGCGTAAGTAAGGGGATTAAAATAGCAATCCTATTTCACAGTATTTCTCGTCGCACCCGCACGTGAGAATAAATTCTATACAAGGTCCTTTAAACAACAAAACTGAGGATGGGGAAGGGAGGAAATTGAAAATGAACGATATAATAAGTTATTTCCATTACGTTCCCATAGCGTGAAATGCGGAATTAGTCGCTCGGCTCCTTCATAACTAATAATAATAATTTATATGAAAGTCGGGAGAATGACACATTACTGGCGAGGAAATATTAATTTCCAAGTCAAATAGTGTCATTTTACTGACGAGGTTTGTATTACATTTTCCTCGAAATCGTCCTTTTTAATATAAAATTTCAATTTTCATATAAGTAGAACTTTTTATTAATATTAATATGTCCGGAGTCTGGTAAAGTGAAATGAGGAAAAGTAGTCGGAAAAAGTGTTTCTGCCACTGTTATGGAAACTAAAATTTCCTGACATAAAGTAGGCATGAAGACGAAGGTTTTATAACGAATTGGAAGTTAAATTATAACTGGGTTTCTTTAAAAAAATCGCTGGGGTAAGAAACCCTTCAATTATCTACTCATTTTCAAGCGTTTTAAACAAACTTTTTGTATATCATTTATATATCACTTTGGAACTGTAGGGGTTTTAGAGCAGTTACAAACGTGAGACAAGGAATGCAAGATTCGTTCTGAGATATCCAGGACGAAGGTTACTATTTTTTTATCATAGTAAAATCATTGGATTATTAATTTCCGAAATATCTACTGTCGCTGCGAGGAGGGTCGCCTCAGGCCTATTTGTTGTAAACTATGTTTTATTGAGGTTAACATGCTTTCTCAAGGGAAATTTGAATTTGTGCATTCTTAAAAATATCAATCTATGGGTAAATCGAAGCCGTTTGTATTACATGAATTTTACCACTTAGACCCATTGAAATTAGATTTGATAGAGAAAATTAGTTTTTGTTAGTTAGTGCTAATTTTTCCGATATGTGGCGTAGTTTTACACCTAACAGGATATTTATAAGATGTAGGTTTTTTTTAACAGAAAGTGTTTGAGCTGAAAGGGCGTGAACAGGTTACTATATATTTGCGGACATACGAGGTCAGGCTGCTTTTGAAAAAGGGTTGTATTTTAATAGTACTTTGTGTACCAAGGCGGGAAAGTGGTTGTTTTCCGGCACGAAGGAAGATATGGCCAGGCGAGGCGAAGACGAGGCTGGCCACTTCCTGAGACCCGGAAAACAACTTTCGTGCCGTGGTGCACACAATATTTTTTATCCTATACACTTACATTTAAAATTAATCCCTCAACAACGTCCGACCGCAAGCGCTTGAATTTGGATTTGCTTTAACATTAGCACGCGTTTGTTTTGTTTATTTCCACGTTTCCTGCTGACTACGTGAAAAAAATTTTACGAAACGGTGCAATCTAAGTGGGCCCACGAGTATATTTTTTACTCGTAGATCTACCCCTTTTCCTTATAATACAGTTCAACGCAAATTCAAATTCTTGCGCGCTGGCGATTGCACAGTGCGGAGTCACCGAAGGGAGTCACGGTGCAACAGAGCAGAGGTGCAAATGGAGAATACCGATCATGTGCGAACTGAGTTGACATTTCCGGCATTTCCTTAGAAAATAACGAGATTTAAGGGGTTGTAATTAATACCAGGCGCATTTGAAATTATTACTGGTCTTGTGTATTAACAAATGTGTTTTAAAATTGAATGTGTGTTTTCAGGGACAAAATCACACCGGTTACATTTTAAATCCTTGGCAGGATCCATGTCTTGTCAAATGTTAGATGCTTTTAAGACTGGATTTATGCTTGGTGACGAACGCGCAATGGGCACACTTTAAATCCTTGATGATCTTGTATTTTTTAAAAATGTGTTTTATAAATAGATTTAGTCATTCCTTACAGTCACACTGGACACATTTTAACTTCGGGGTAGTCTCGTATGTTAAAATGCTACTTATTGCGGATAAGCGGTGTTCTACTTACAGTGCAAAGTACGTCTTGGTGTTAAATGTATTGACACAGATGCTCGTTATTGAAAGTAAATGGGAGATTTATGACTTGAAACGTTTGAATTGATCACGTGATATTGGGAAAGTATTCAAATTCACGAAACATTGATAGGTATAGGTTCGCGGTAATTAAATAAATTCTTGAATTCAGTAAAATAAAGTGAACATAGGGTAAATTTAATTATTTTTCTCGCCTAGCCGACAAAATTGAATTTTCGCGCTCCATGCGTGCAATTGTCTTCTTTCGCGTCCTCACAGAGGCGAGAAAATGTAAGTTTCTCCTTGTATAGGATAAAAAAAATTATTCTATGATCGAATGCTCCCCTTCAATATACTCAACTCCCCTTGCTACACACTGTTCCATTCGTTTTTTCCACTGCTCAAAGGAATGCTGGAAGTCTTCTTTTGTAAGAGCGTTTAGGCGAGTTCTGCCGATTTTCGCTTCACCTCTTGCATCGCCTCGAACCGGGTTCCTCTTAAGGCAGATTTGATCTTTGGAAACAGGAAATTTGATATTGATGCGGTTGTTCGTGTTTTTCGTCACACATTGTAATCGGCACGAAAACACTTTATTTTTTAACCTCTATAGAAAAAATACTGCTACCACAGCGACCAAAACGAGTTTCCGTACTGAAATAGTAGACACTTTCAGCTAGCCAACGCTGCATTTGTTTCCTACTCCTCTCAACCCCTTCTGCGAGCGCACTATGCAAACTTTAAACGGTCATGTCCTACTACCTCGCTTAGTTTTAATGTTAGAAAAAACAAAGATGGAGGTTTTTTCAAGTACATCAAAAAAGGTTCTATGATTTTTTTTTAATGCGTTGTTTTTTTTGGTTATTTCACGTTCAAGCTTTCAATCTACCCCTTTGACGAATAAGAACCAACTTTCAGCAAGCTATTATTCCGTTTGTATTAGGTCTAAAGGCACCACAACCTATCTTTCTTTTTGTTTTCTTCATTCGCGAAGCGCAAATAACGGACGCTACGATGATTAGCTATAACCACAGGCTCATCCGATTTCGCAATAAGAGAAGTAGTTCAGCATCTCATTGACATACAATAGAAACCCTTTATCTTCGTCTCCTACAAACCAAATACGCTACGTACGACCGAAAACGTATGCTAGAAGGTGATATGTCTGATTTCAAATTTTAAAACGACCAGTACCGTTGGTGTATATAGAGGCACTGCTGGAAAGCATTTCACTCTTGCTTTGCTTTCTGCATCCATTGAGTTCAGTTCAATTTGTTCTCATTTGTGCCATTGTCCATTTTGAAAAAGATTTTGCATTCATCACGGAGTCAACTGTACAATACAGAAGCGATCTGTTTCCATATTTCTAAAGCGAGCGGCATTTTCCAAAAAGAGATGGTATCATTTGATACCAGAAGAAAATAGTACCCTCGTCAATAACAGACTGTAAGTTATTTTAAATTTGTGATTTGTATAAAGTAATGGTCGATTATCCTTAGGAATTTGCTTATTAATTTTGTTTTGAGGTAATTTTGGCATTCCTAAAGGAATCGACCCATCAGAATTATTTGCATGTATGACATTTATGAATAAAAAATCTCATTCAAACAAAGGATTTTGGTTATTTGGCTTCATTGATTGGAATTTTGCATTTAATTTCAGTGAAGTCATTCCTTTGGTTGGATTAAAATTTGGTTCAGCATTCAGAGGTTGTATGTGTATATTTTGGACAGGAGAATGTACCAGTGTGGTAAAGATGAATTTTAGATAATAATCAGAGTTAGCATGGACATGTGATCACGAAATAGGCATAGCATTGGGGTAACGACAGAATGGAAGGGGCCTTCAAATTGGTACAAATGAGGACTTTTTCTTAATCCAACAAGGAACAGAGAAACAATGCAAAAGTTTCCTCTGTAGAACGCCCATCTCTAATACGAACGAGATCAATTAATACCTTAGACAAGACGTTGGCATGTAAACACATTTGGACAAAATAAAAAATAAGTTCGTCAGGGTCTTTTGGATCTAGCGTATGCGGCCTTGGTGTGGTGGAGACGGACTGAGACCCAAGAAGATCGGGTAAAGGCAATGAAAGGACATACAGGGATCAAAGAAGATGGACTGCCTAAAGTATACGTCATGGAAATGATTTCTGGCAGAATTGGAAAAAAAACGTGCTTCAGAAAAGTGCGGTAGGTACAACAGTGTCAATACAAGACGCGTGGGATCACAAAAATCATTCGATCTACAAATATGATAAAGAATCCACTTGCAACTCGATGTACCTATATGAAGCCATCGAGCGAGCGAGCGTCCGAGCGATCGTACGATTGGGAGAAAGCATAACCGTCTCGTTTAAAAGTCGACGCTAAAATCAAGATCAGCTATCACTTTTACTTTTTCAATAACTTTAAGCGTATCCGAAATACGAGGGGTGGTCAAAAGGCTATATAAATCAAAAACTAAAATGGCCATCACAAGTTTGTTATCGGATTCCTTTGTTTCGTTAAAAAATGAAAACAGCATTGGTAACACGAACTTATAAATTAAGATGGACTGCTAATGCTGAATTGACAAATGACACCTACATGGGGGCCGCCATGATGTGCACTCACTTGGCGCGAAATTCAAATCAACTAATAAACACGCATTAACCACTCGTTTCCTAAATAAATTACTGTGACACATGCCATTTTCCAAGGCTGCAATAGTCTCAAAACTAGAGCACTAGGAAAATTCCCCTAGAAAATAACTAAAACGTGCACATCATGGCCGCGCCCATGCTAGGGCCATTTCTGCCTCTATGCAACTTTTTTTTTGATCAGCAGTCCATCTTAATTTATAAGTTCGTGATTGGTATTAAGAACGACGCTACCTTACAATTACAAGGAAATCATACTGTTTACTGTTTAGTTCTAATTTAAGACAAAAAGTGGATCGACTGCCCACTTTTTTGTTTGAAGAAGATTTTCACTTGAAAATGCGTGGTAGGTATATAAATCAGTCGAAAAAGTGGCAGAGTGGATTTATGTGGAAAGTGGATAATTTCGAATTTAGGTCGTATTATTTTTATGTTTGTCAAAACAATTTAATTTTTTACTAACACCCACACATTTATTTGTGTATACAAAAAAGCGTTCCGTAAAAATTACAATTTACATTTGACGTTGGTTTTTATTACACTTTAATAGCTAATTTAGCATAAATTCACGGCTTGAATATGGAAAACATTGGTTGTTTTATATTACTCGACTGCGATTTAACAGTTGGTACTTGGCACAAGACCAAGCAATGTACTATTTTAATGTGAGATCTTTTACAAGTACAAAGTGTTTGTTTTTAAACAGCAACGACTTGCTCTTCCAAGGATTTTTGCTAACCTTAATTTAAATATAGGCTGCATCGTAAAAGGATCATTACACCGAGACCACCAGTAATTTTTCTTAGATCTCCAAATTGATCTTGATAATTTATATGGAGGCCATCATAGTAAATAGGTCATCATAACCTAGCAAGGCATTTATTTCATTCCCTTTGACAAATAGTACACCGAATCTGTATAACCTTCTGTGCACTTTTTTAATTCTATTTTTCTGATCCTTTAAATAATTATTTTGGTTAAAAGCATTTGATAAATATTTACCTAACAATTAGTAATGGAGTAGGTGATACTGCGCCAGTTCTAAATGCTTACCATAAGGTCAGAAGGATATTAGCAGTTCCTTCAACTTTTTGGTTAACGTTAACGGGAGACTTTTAATCGTGTTTTAAGCAGCCTGATTCGAAGCAAAACCGTTTATTTACGAGTAGTACAATTTAAGCAAAGGAACATTTTCGAGTCTGAGAAGGATTTTCAAATAAAAACACGCTAACCGTAACTACTGGTTGAAAACAAGTTCTTCAAAGCTGAGTGACAACATTGTGCGATAACTACAATTGTGTATAGAACGGCATACAGCAGGGAATTTGAAGACAATTAATCGGTGCATTTATGCATTTACCTGTAACAAACCTTAGTGAGTAAATTAGGCAAAGTTAATATCAACAGAACGAAACATTGTCTTACTATTCCTGTGCATAATCGCGATCTCGAGTATTACTTTTGCGAAATTGAAACCGGTTTGATTTGGATAATTAAATGAATTACCACTGCACGTCACGCCTGGTTATAAATGATTGGCACATTTTTTGTTTGTTAGTTGTTTCTTCAAAACATCTGACGACAGAACAATTGACGTTCTCATGCCAAAAATTATAAATTACAGTAGGTGGTTCGCTTAGAAATGAAAGCTCTGTATAACTATTTAGAATGATGGACCCGTTTATAAAAATCCATAAACATTTATAAAAACTATCCGCAACAGGTGGCCGCTTTGCCGATTCAAATATTTGGTTTTTCAAATTTTATTCAACATAGGAAACTTCCGAATTGTCAGCGACATTTCACTTCTCGTCCTTGGTAAACAAAATACTATTGTTTGTGTAAAATCATGTCAATCGTGTGTTTATTGGAACCCTTTAACGATCCAGATAGATTTCTGATGTTTAATTATAATTAATTTTGTTGATTCGTACCCAAAGTTCATATCAAGTGTTGTCAACATTTTGCTAAGTAGCCCTTTTGGAATTGTAGGAATTGATTGTGGTCATTATTTGCATTAAAATTTGAAATTTTGAAGTCGAATTTGAAATTTTTTATTGTGCCTGGATTCGTTAGGTTTAAGGTGTGTTGTACCTATATAGTTCTTTTTGGCCGGGTCATTGCACACGGCAATTGCGTCTGCTCGTCCAACGTGGGGCATTGTATTTATTTTTTGAGGCCCGAATGTCACGGGTCACACCAATATACTCAAATCAACTAAGTTCACATGAGTATTTATCAGAGTTCAATTAAACCATCAGATCTTGAATTCAGGTTTTAAGAGGAGATAAAGGGCTCAACTTCCAAAAGGCAAGTGGTTTGAAATAGTACATTATATATCAAGGTAGAGAAGTCCACTATTATTGCCTGAGCACCAAGATTACATCTCGAGGCGCTTGCGCCGAGGGGTGTAAGGTGCAAAGGCAATAATAGACTTCTCTACCGTGGTATATATACTATTTTTTTCACTACTAGCACTTGAAATCCTCTAAATTAACATATTATATTGATAAGAGAGTTAACGGTTGGACAGAATTGTTTGTTTCTTAATTTAACATGTCAATCAAGTACGTGGAAGTACAAGTCAAACAGGCCGTATTTTGTTCTGTCATTGAGATTTTTCAAAGAGTAATTTCGTTCGAATTTTTTCAAAATGTGATAATTTTAGGTATGTAATTTCTCTGGAAATTGCGAATGGTGGCAATTATTCGTTTTAGAGAACTTGTCTAAACGTTCATTGAGCGAAATTTCGGGTTGTGTTTTCTAAAAGTGACAGCGTGACAGTTCTCATTATTGACTACTAGTTAATAATAAAAAATTATTAACCACTTGGAACAAATGCCGAGAAAGCCTACTTTACAAGTGGAAAAAAGGTTAATAATCATGTCATCAGACGCTAGTAGTGAAAAAACATTTTTATTAGATACTGACCTGGCCGTGGGTAAATTAAAAATGAATTGAATTCAAATTCGAGGGCCACCATGGGTATCTCGGAAACTGTAAGAGATAGGTAGGTAATTTAAATTTGGCAAAGTTGCGTATTTTGATGCTTAACAAAATGCCGTTTTGAAATTGAACAAATTCCGACTACTTTCAGAGCTATCCTGAAAAAAAAAACAAATTTTGCAACAAAGTTTCTATTTTTTATCGAAATTATTTAAAAAGATATTTCAAAATAAATGACATGTTTTTTTCTTATGGAAGTCATTTTTACTTTTTGTATCATTTGATGAGCATTTTTTTCTGATTTCAAAAATGTAAACCTCACTAGATATTTTTTAAATATTGTTAAAATATTTTCTTTTTTCTGACAAACTTTGTCCTGGGTAGTATACACGGTGTCCATTTTTCGAGTGCCACTATAGGGATCTCGCTTATCTTAAGAGATAGAGATTGGGTTACATGAGGGCAGGGTTGCGAATTCGTGCTGAATAATAATCTGAAAAGAAATTCAAAATATCTTCAATAGTTTTGAAAATACACAAAAAAAACGAAAATTCTGATTTTCGTTTTTAATTTTTTCATGGTAAACTAATCGTACTAGACATTTCTGAATTAAGGAGATTTCGAATTAGGCATCTTGTTTTTAATAACTTTTAAAATGACGGAAAAACATGTAGCAACTTTAGTTTTTCTAATGGTCGCCGTTTTTTATTTTGACATTCTGAGATTAAGTCTTTTTTTCTCTTTACAACGATATATCGCACAGGGTGGTTCACTAACATATTTTTCCTAAAAAATACAATTTTCATTTTCTGTGAAGAGTGCTTTGCAAAAACAAAACGTTCTTTTGTTGTGAACAAAAGGTTGACTTATTTGAAGTAGTGTCATTTACGTTTGTGCTAGTTTTGCGAAAATATTATGTATTCTTATGTATTTTTTCTAATATGAATTATACTTTTCTTGCAAAATGAAGGTTCAATTCTATTCAGATGACAATCAAATTTTCTCAACAACTAGTTCCCTGCCAACGTTGCAACCAGACAGGTGGATCGAATTGTCAAACTTTTGATCACAATAAAAGAACGTTTTGTTTTTCCAAATCGCCCTTCCCAAAAAATTAAAAATTGTATTTTTAGGAAAAGTGTGATACTGCACCACCATGTGTGATATATCGTTGTAAAAAGAAAAACTAAAGTTGGCACTTGTTTCTCCGTCATCTTAAAAGTTATTAAAAACGGGATGCCATATTCGAAATCTCCATTAAAAAGTGTCTGAATAATGTGTTAATAAGAAATGTCTATTAATTGATCAAGAAAAAATTAAAAACGAAAATCAGAAAGTTTCGTTTTTTTTGCGATATTTTCAAACCTATTGATGATATTTTAAATTTCTTTTCAGATTGTTCTTCAGCACGGAAATTCTCAACTTTGCCCCCATTTAACCAAATGTCTATCTTTTCTTACGTTTTTACAAATTAATAGCGCCAATCCTTATTAAAAAATAGTAATAGCAAATTGGCATAATCGTGTTACGTTAGTTTGGGTGGCAAGCTATGAGGGGATCGCCGGTAACGAGGAGACTGATCGACTCGCTAAATCCGGCACCAAACATCCCCAAATTGGATCGGAACCCTGCTGTGGAGCACCAGCAAGTCTAGCTGGAGGAGTGATAAGAGGCCAGCTCAGAAAAGAGTGGAAAAGTTTATGGCAATCTGCCCCTTGACTAAGAAAATCCAAGAAATTGATCAGACTAAAACCAGCTCGTTACTAGGCACTGAACAGATGTGAACCAAGGTCATATGTAGACCTGGTCATCTGAACAAAATCGGGGTAGCTGAGGATAACACATGTCGCCTCTTCTTCGAGGAAGAAGACACGGCGGAACACAGCATCTGCTGGTGTGAGGCAGTCTTCGGACAGAGACCACAAGAGCTGGGTGATAATTTCACCTGAGCAGATCAACGAGTTGAAGCTGGAGAGGATCCTCAGATTTGTTTAACAAACTGCCTCTCGCGGAGTAATACACTGGGGGCACGCACAATAGATCCAAGGGTCAAAGTATCTAAGCTTGATATAGCTCCAAACCAATGAGGCAATGAATTTTTAGAGTAAATGCATTGGGTGAGTAAACAGACAATTTTCTAAATGAGATGATTAGACTGATGAAATACAGGGTGCAAATTTGAAGGATATAAACAAATGTCGACTTCAAGCATTTCGAAACTACCGATTATGCCTTTTTACTGTGAAAAGTTATAATTTAAAAGCACACTAAACTAACATTGTCTAAAGTGGATGGCAGACACGAAATCTGCTTACGTATTTGGCTGGAGGTCATATGCAAAAACAAAAATAGACACATGGCCTGAATTAAGCTTGGTGTATACAAACTGTCGATGAAAATTAAAACTAGGTTTAACACACAAATGAAAAGCAGTGATAGTCAAATATGGGGTATTTGCTTATAGGAAATGGCACACAACACTCATATCGTACCGTATCCGGGCGTATATTATCTCAGTTAAATTATATAACTCCCGTACACGTCTTCACTAAATGCAAATATCCGTCACTTTATAGCTCGTCTATAACTAACGTTTGTGGGAGATGCATTAGTCTAAAATGAAGAATACACCATTATTGAGCCTCCTCGTAAAATTAATGGATGAAAATGTAATCTATTTATAATATGTATACTGAATACGTTGAGCATGAGCAGCTCGTCGCAAATTCTTGAGACAAATATAGATCGTTAACACAAAAATCTATTGTTTTGTTAATTTTCGATTGTTCTTCCCCTCCTGGTAACTTCCAACCCTACAGTCTTAAGTGTTCTTGGTACAAACTGCGGAAACAGCTGAAATGAGTTAAAATGCATCCAGTCTAGGTTAGTGACACAGAATAACAATAATGCGAGCTTTAGACGATTGGTATGGTGACCGTTGTCGTGACAAAAATAGTATTGAAAAATTGCCATTGCATTTCTGCTTGATGTATACGAAGGACACCATCACAAGATTAGATGCCCTTGATGAATCTTCGTGAGCTCCTGTCCATAGTCTTCCACCACAAATGCGAACACCTTACGAAAAAGAATCGAATAGCAACCTGTACGACTCGTCCAGTTATTGAAATAATTAACAGTGATATGGAATTTTACCCCAATTACTTTTACAAACTAGGTGGTGAGAATTGTCTACGTCAGGGGAAACAAAATTAAGTAGGTATCCAGTACTTAGTAATAGGAGGCTGACAAGTGCAGTCATTCCACGCACCATCATTGGAAAAAACTCTCAAATCTCCCACAAACTTTAGTGCGATTTATTTATATGATTATTTGACAACTGTGTTGCAGAAAAGCTCCGAACACTTGTAGCGCTTCCATTTGGAGCGAGGTGAGTTTCTAAAAAAAATGTGACTAAAGACACAAGAATTAATTTTTTGAACTTCAATCAAAGCAGGGCATCACAGCAACACACCGATAACAAAATTCAAACCTGTGTCGCCAGCAGGAAAAGATCTCGGAAAAGATATCGCGACTGTGTTGAGGGATGCAGAAGGTGTGATTGTGGATTATGGTTGGATTGGTGATGATGCACAATCAGTTCTGTCCAACACGTACAAA